GGTGCATGGGTGGGTGTGGTGGAGGGTGGGCTTTGCCCTTGAAGGAGGTTAGAGAGGAAGATGCAAAGGAGGAGACAAGAGGAAGGTAATGAGAAAAGAAGGGGGTTTGTCTTTCAGACAAACCAAGAGCCCAAGAACTGTTGGCCTGTGGGATCACAGGAAAGATGAAGACTGATGAGGGGCCTGACTGAAATATAAAATCTCATGCCACAGCAGAGCTGGATCTCAAAAACATAATATTGAGTGAAAGGAAGCATCGCAGAAGAATCATACAGTAAGTTCCATTTATGTGAATTTTTAAAAACTAGCAGAAGCAAAATGCATATTGCATAGGAATGCATACATAGGCTGTAACATTGTAAAAAGCAATAAAGAAATGATGGCCCTGGAATCCAGACAGGTCCCCTGCACCACCTCAGTGAGACCGGGGATAACAGGGGACCTCAAAGGTACTGATCCCTTTCTAGTTCTTAAACAGGTGGTGGGCTGGTACTCAGATGTGGCGACATGTACCTGATGCATATCATTTTGCATGGATGACATATGAAGGTTTTTAAACATAATATGAAATAATGAGCAGCACGAATATAAACATGACTTGCTCATCAAATTCTGAGATACTAGGAAAAGGCGGTCCCTTCTAGGATTTGTGGCAGGTATGGCTTGAGAGAATAAAAGGAAGACCCATTCACCAAGGGACTTGTGCAGCACTTGTTACTGACTGATCTTGCCTCCGGGACAGGACTGGGTACGTAAATGAGGTCTTGGGCACTTGATCGAGAGAGGAAATACAGTGTCCAGAGCCACAGGGCATGGGCTGAGAGCCAGGCAGCAGAGCCAGGTCCTGGCGGGAGGGGGACATGCCAGGGTCAGCAAATCCAAAAGGGCCAAAATGGGAAGGAGGAACTCAGACCAGAATCCAAGCAAGTGGGACCAGAGGAGGGGGACCGGGAGGGGGGTAATCCAAAGGGGCCAGCCTATAGGAATTCTCCGAGCTGGATTTGGGCCCCCTCTGGACTAAGGGCGACCTGGTCTGTGGCAAACTTCTGGAAGCAGACATGACAGGAAGGTGGATGTCAGCCCCAGAGGTGACACCAGTAGACAGAGCCACAGATGGCCAAGAGCAGCCCCCCTGAGGCAGAACCTGAGGTGGCCCCATTAACCCCACTCCACCCACCCCCCAGGGACATAAGCAGCCTTAGAAGCAACCTGTCCACTTTCTGGCTCAATGTAGAAATCCCTTCTCCATCCTGTCACAAATTCCCAAGCTCTGACTATTCTAGAGGCTCAGGACCTCTGGAGGGTTCTGTCCCATTGTAAATAGTCATGCTCTCTTATCAAATTCTTTGTTCAGAGCTGAATTTCAGCCTCCTTGTCATATTTCCCCAATTGTGTCATCATCTCTGCTTTCAGGAGCCTGCAAATTAGCCAAGTCCCTCTTACACCCACCAGGTTAGCAGGACTATGGGTTCTGGTCAATAAGCAGAACAAGGTCCACCAGGGGGATGGTGCGGTTGACACAGAGATGGGCCATCCTGACTGCCTCTCAAAAAAGGACTTGCTGCAGTCAGCACACAGCCTTCAGCTGGTTGGGGCTGGCCGAGAGCTGCCTCACCAAAACCACTGGTCACGGGCAGGGTGTCTAAAAGCAGGCCACTGGGACGCCTGGATGGCTAGTTGGTTAAGCGTCTGCCTTCGGCTCAGGTCATGATTCCGGGGTCCTGGGATCGAGTCCTGCATGGGGCTCCTTGCTCGGCAGGGAGCCTGCTTCTCCCTCTGCTTGTGCTCTCTCTTTCTCTGACAAATAAATAAATAAAATCTTTAAAAGAAAAAAAAGCTGGCCACGGCACTCCCCCACCAGCCACTCTAATGGGCCACATATGCCCGTGGGCTCAGGACTTCCTCTCAGCATCACCACCCTCTGTGCCCAATCCTGCTGGGCCAGTTTGGAAGGGGGCCAGGAGCCCAGAAATGCTGGCAACTCCTAGAAGCTGGAAAAGGTAAGAAAATGGGTTCTCTCCTTGTGCCTCCAAAAAAGGAATGGGGCCTTCCTGACACCTTGATTTTAGCCCAATGAGAGCCACTTTGGCTCTTCACCTTCACAGGTGTTTATCCCTAATGAATGTCCTGCTCGCCAAACCCCAGCTCAGCACCTGCTTCCAGAGAGCCCTATCTGCTACAGAAGGGAGTCTTTACAACAGACTAAATCAAAGAGGTGGTGGTTTTGGACCCTCTACCAAAGAAAAAAAAAATGGTGTTTTCATTTTCAGATACCTTATTCTCTGCAGCCTTTGCCAAGAGTCTGAGGTTTCCCTAAGAGCTCCTTCAAAGCAAACAGGCAAGGATTTTATTTAGGAGAGAATCCTCTGCAACTCTCCAACCTGAGCAGGTTGTTCCAGTGAAGAGTTCAGAATGGGCCAGACTGCAAACATGCTCAGCTCCCTGCCCCTGGGTGGGGTTGGAAAAGCCATCACCCTCTTCTACTCTTTGGTGCCAGTATGGGATTTACTAGCGCAAACCAGCAGAACAACCTGGCAGTTTCCACTTACTTGGAAAGGGTTTCCTTTCAAGTTCAATTCCTTTCCCAGTCCCAGAATTCTCAAAAGCCACAGCTCCCTCGTTCTCCCTCCTCTGGACCCATAGTACTAATTGTTCTTGCCCCATTTTATGCAATTAATTATGCACCGTTGTAGGACAATTCTCAGGCTGCTGGCTGGTCAGCTCATTTACTTATCCCTTGGATTATTATTTTCTACTAATAACAAAACAGCAACCAGCTAGGAGCTCCTCCTCCAGATATTTTTGTAGGAAGAAGACTATGCCAGGCTTCCTCCTAGCATGGCTGTTGGGTTAAATTACAAGGAATGATTTCTAATCCTTCCTTTAATTTTAAGATTTTAGTTAGATGCCCAACCGACTAAGCCACCTATGTGCCCCTCTAATCCTTTCTTTTAGGTGACTTTTATTATCACCATCTCTTTTTTTATTATATTTAAAAAGAAATTCATTATATCAGTTTCCTATTGCTGCTGTAGCAAACTACTACAACCTCAGTGGATTAAAACAATCCAAATTTATCATCTTTTAGTTTTGTAGGTCAGAAGTCCAAAGTGGCTCTCATTGGGCTAAAATCAAGGTGTCAGGAAGGCCCCATTCTTTTTTTGGAGGCTCAAGAAGAGAACCCATTTTCTTACCTTTTCCAGCTTCTAGGAGTTGCCAGCATTTCTGGGCTCCTGGCCCCCTTCCATCTGCAATGCCTGATGGAGTCTTTCTCATAGGGCACCATTCTCCTGTGCCTGCCCCGCCCCCCTCCACATTTAAAGACCGCTGTGATTACATTGGGTCCACCTGGATCATCTAGGATAATCTCCCTTTCTCCGGGTCAGTTGTTTAACATCAGCTTCAACTTAATTCCCTTTTGTCATGTAACCTTACATATTCACAGACTCTGGGGATTAGGACGCATATATTTCCTTAATAATACACATATATTTCCATGCTATTTAATATTTTGCTATATTCCATTTTGTAATGGCTATCTAGGATTCTACAATGTGGATATACTATAATTTATTTAACTTAGTTAATTCTCTGTTGTAAGACACATAATTTATCACTAACTTTTTTTTATAGCTAATAGCCCTGTGGCAAATATTCCTAAAGCTACATCTTTATACACATTCTTAGGATTCATTTCCTAAAGGTACCCCAAAGGCTGGGGGTACCAGTCATATCATTTGTCCTGCAAAGTGGGATATTTTTGAGAATGGAAAGGGGTCAATCTTAAAAACTAACAGTAACTGGTAACTGACAATAAGCCAGACCTGACATGGGCAGGATATATATTGCCCACCTGGCCTCCTGAAATGTTTCACGGATTGCCCATCCCCCCAGCAGCCCCCAAGTACCCTTGCTCTGAGACCTTGCCAACAGTGCCAGTCCTCGTCCGGCCCCCAGTCGCATCTTCCTAAAACTGAGAACCACACAGCGGCAAATGCCCTTGTGACTCTCTCCAGACCGGTGGCCGTGGCAGGCCTGTTTCTTGCGGCAGGGGGAGGACAGTGAAGTCATTCTTGGCCCTCACTGCCAATGATTTTACCTTAGGTGAGTCTATCGTGGCTTCTGATGGAGGCACAGACTGCATCAGCTTCAAGGCAGTGGTGACCGACCTCCCCTCCCTATACAAAGGTGCGGGGACAGGTTCAGCTAGAAGAGGCACCTTCCCACAGAGCTCCCCCCAAGCCCAGGCAGGTGTCCCGGGGGAGCCCTACAACAAGACGTAATACGTCTTGAATTTGCTGAGCAAATTCACCGGACAAACTTGCCTGAGCAAGAGACACTGACCCTGAAGAGCCAAGGGCAAGAGCTCGAAGCTGCAGTCAGACAGTTTCCTACACCGAGAGTGTTTCAAGGACCAAGTCACACTTTCTCATCAGAGCACTTCCTTTTGCATAGAACCCTCTGAAACCATCAACTGTCAAGAACACACCCAAATAAGGCAGCTGCTGAAACCACAAAAACTAAAAGACTAAATTCATTGTGAAGATGTTTCCTAACACTCAAGTGGGCACTTTTTTTTTCTTTTTTGTATTTGCTTGTTTTGTTTTTAATTTTAGTAGAGGTTATTTGAATCAGGCCACCAAGACAAGCAAATGCTCTCTGGGCAAAGACCCAGGCCCATGCACCAGGCTGCCTCACTGGGCTTCAGGAGACCGAAAACGGGCATCCTGAATGCGAACATGGAGACAAGATAGCAGGTCCTCAGACTTCTTGCCTCAGACATTTCTGACCTTTTGAGTCCAATAACCCAGAGGCCACTCAGGAGACGTTTGACTCATTCTTGTTGACTCGGGCTGGAAAAGCAAACCTAAATGGGCCCCAGTAGCAATCTAGTTTTGGAGCAGTTTCACTTGTAAGCAACTGGCTGGCTGCCTAGAGAGAATGTAAGCCTTCGGAAACAAGAACAAAAAAATGTTCCAGGTGACATTTAGTAAGCATACCTGCACAAGGTGCTCTGTTGTCAAGCTGGAAAATGAGCAGAACACCCCAGCAAACGGTGCTCTGTTCATGAAATGAGCAAGAGGCCGAGCCGGCTAGCCTGGAACGGGGACTGGCCGGTCACCGGATGTCTAAAGCTGGGGCATTCTCTCCGAAAGAACTGCTCTTCTTAAATGTCAACTCTGATGTCTTAGTGCAGATGTTCAGTTGGAGATCTAGACTGTTTGATACAAGCAAAAGCAGAGTTGCTGGATCACCCATCAGCCACAAAAGGGAGCCCCAACAATTTGGAGGAAGAAAACATTGGGCCAGAAGGTGAAGTGTGTTGGATTCCTCATGTCAAAAATCAGCTTCTGTATTCAGAAGAATGGGAGCCAGAAGGTCCTGAATCCAAACCTAGAGCATGGCCTCCCACATGCTCTGTGGGCCTTGGGCAGGTGGATTTCTTGTCTTCTCTATTTTTAAGATTGATTTATTATTTTAGAGAGACAGCACACGCGCATGCACATGAGCACAAGCTCCGGGAGGGAGGGGCAGAGGGAGAGGGAGAGAGAGAATCACAAGCCGACTCTGCACTGAGCGCGGAGCCCGACTCGAGGCTCCATTCTAAGACCCTGAGATCATGACCTGAGGCGAAATCAAGAGTCAGTCACCTAACAGCCTGAGCCACCCAGGTGCCCCCACCAGCGGAGTTCTATAGAGAGAGCTTTGGATGCTAAAGACAGGGCTACCTAGCAAAGGGATAAATGTTCCATCTATTCTTAGATCCTAGGCCCCGGACCCCTCAATTACCATATGTGTGTCATCTGCTGTAGCTGCTTACGCTGGTAAGACAGCGCCTGGCACATAATAAGAGTGCAATAAATATTTGTTGAATGAGTGAATGAGTCTTAAAGTTAGGGTTGACGCAAACACCAAACAGCCTGTCTTTCACCAGGCAGATGGGGACTCACCTGAGAGGTATGCGGGACAGGAGCAGGGTTTGGAGTGGCTTGGGGGATCCGGTGGGGTGGGGAGAGTGCCAAGATCCACGGCTTGTGGCCCCACAGTTGCAGACAGCACGGGCGGGCACAGCTCAGGGGCTTGCTCGTTGCTCACGTCCCTCCTGGTTTGACAGCAGCCCTCGCCAAACCCTGGCAGAGAACAGCCTGATTAGAACTGGAAAAGTCTAGAGGACTTATTTGACTGATGAGCAAACTGAGGTCCGGAGAGGCTTATGTGGCAGAGCTGGGGTTCACGCTCAGGTCTATCTGACACCCAGTCAACTCTTCTTTCTAAAATGCAACACTGCCGTCCCAACAGTGGGAGGAAAGAGTCTCGGGAAATCTGCTCTCTAAACCTTTAACCTGTGGATACTCTGAAGGTAGAAAGCAGACTCTAAACAATATTTCCTCTGAATTTTTACAACTCTCTATCAAATGACAACTCTGGACTTTCTATAACAGCATTGTTCAACAGAGCTTTCTAAAACGATGGAAATACTCTATTTCTGTGCTGTCCGATACAGGAACCCCTCGTCACATGGGTCTAGTGAGCATTTGTGGCTAGCATGAGTGAGGAAGTGAATTTTCTGTTTTAAATTTGATGTCACTTAATTTACATTTAGGTATAAATTGCTGTATGTGGCTAGTGGCTACTGCTTTCGGACAGTACCATTCTAGAAGCTTGTATATAGAAGTCTTACTCTGGACTATGAAGAGGAGGGGCAGCTGGGAAGGAGAGATGGGGTGGGGAGAGCTGGGGGGAGAAAGAGAGAGAGACACACACACACAAACAGGGAGAGGGAGAGAAGGAAAAGGGGAGGGGGGCGAGCGGGGGTGGAGAGGGAGAGAGAGGGAGGGAGGGAGAGAGACAGTGTGTGTGCCTGTCCTGGTTGTAATTTCTCCTAACAGCCACAAGATGACACCATTGCTCAGACTCTCTGCTCTGAAAAGCAAATCCCGCTGGTTTGGGATTCCCAGCTCTCCTCCCTCTCTTCCTCCGTCTCGGTCCATCTGTCTGTCTTGGGTCTTTCTTCTTCCCTCCCACCTCTTCTTCCCTCCTCCTCTCCCCTCCCCCAACCTTCTTCTTCAATCCTGACTTCATGACTCTCTGGTGGCCTTGAGCAAGACGATAGCAGACGACTTGTGCGAAGCTGGGAGCAACAAGGATCCCCTGAGATTGATACTTGGCTACAGGAAGGGCAGTGCTTGGCTCATTGGCCATGATGGGAAAGGCACTCTGGATCCTGCTGTAACTGCCCTGGACCCTGCCTGCGTCTTAGGAGGCCTTCAGAGACAAATCTTGTTCACTCGCTCTGACCCATACCACTTTCTCCCCACCAGCTGCCCCCCCCAACACACACACACACATCTTGGAAGCTCCTGCCCTCGGATCCGGTCCCAGAGGTCATCATCGGAATGTCTCCAGAGAAACTATAAATGCAGAGAGAATGTCCCCTAGTGAGGGTTCTGAGGTCTCCTTTGTTATTTTAGCCTAAGGACAAAGCAGCCAGTGCCTGGGGATGGTGGGTGGAGCTTGCAGTATTTTTCTAAGATTTTTGCAGTTGGGGAATCAGTCCCCAGGGACGGGGCAGGGCTGCGGGCTAATTCCAGTACAGTAGGATCAGGGCTCTGAAAACACAGAGGAAACTTCAAAGCTCTTCCGGGCATCTGAATGGGAAGGGGCCCTGCGGAAGGTGGATGTCAGCTTTGCAGGAACCGCCCTCTTGCTCTGAGCTGGGCCTGCCGCTCTTCAAACACCTCCAGACTGTCCCCGCTCAGCCTCAGCAGACTCAGGATTCACCAGGGCCCTGAAGGCAAACACAAGGAGGGCAGGGCCCCGCAAGTTGGGGTCTGGCTCTAACTGTTCTCTGGCCTTAAGAGCTGAGGCCGATTTCATCTCTGCAAACTGAGACTGTCACTGCAGAAACACCCACACCAGTCCTGCCTCCTCCCCAAACCTGGCTGAACTCTGACACAGCTCCTTTGCAGGGAGTGATCAGAATTATGAATGCCAGAAGGTCATTTGAGGTAATAATTAGGACAATCATTAATTTCTGAGGTCTAAGTGACTCATTTATCCCTGATATGCACAGGGATCAAAGGAGGTATTTATAGCTTAGAAACAAACCTCCCATTCTTTCCCTTGCTATAATAAATAATAAAAAGCTCCCAGGCCTCCTTCCTTACCCATCTCTTTCTTGCTGGTCCTTTCTTAACTGTCCCCATACAAAAACCAACCCGCCTCTCCCTTCTCTCTACTCTTGCTCTTTCCTCTTTAAGAGCCACCACAGGTCCAGCTACTCCACCCGGCTCTGAGAGTCTTGGCTGCAGCCCTGCTGTGGAGTCAGTGGGGCTGATCCCTCTGTCCCCAGGGAGGCATCGGGTGGGCTCTCCTTGGAAACTTACCTCATCTTTGCCTCCGTATGTAGATCAGTGCTAGATTCAGACTGCCTGGGCAGGCTACCAACCTGGCCCTGTCAACTTATTAGCTGTGTGATCTTGGGCAAGTTATTTAACCTTGTCAAGCCTCAGTTCCCCAATCTGTGAAATAGAGATGATAATCGCCTCTAAGGCTGGCTTAGGAGAATTACAGAAAATATATAAAATGCCTAGCACAGAGCCTGGTACAAAATAATGTCAACTACATTTGTCAATACCTCAAAATCCGTATTTTATTTTCAAGAACTTGTAGCAGCTATGCAAACTGTATCTTTCATGTTCTGTTGTGGCCTCTAAGAGATGAAGTGAGGATGCACGGAGCCCCAGGGGGGGCCCAGAGTGCCCCCCTGTAACAGGAATCTGATCGTTGTATGTCTGTATGCAGGGGCGGGGTTCTTCAGCCTTAAGGATATTGTGAGATGGGCCCAGGTCAGTTTCTCAACCTCTGCACTATTGACATTTTGGTCGAGGTAATCTTCTGTTGTGAGGTGTCATCCTATGCATTTTAGAATGTTTAGCAGCATCTCAGGCCTCTTCTCTCTCGTGCCAGTAGTAGCCTTCTAGTCGTGACAATCAGAAATGTCTTAGACATCACATGTGCCCTGGGAGGCAAAATTGCCCTTGGTTGAGAACCACTGGTCTAGGCAGATGGGCAAGTGTGGAGACCTCCCCGCAGGTACCCGGTGGAGCTAAGGTGAGGAGACAGGAAGGAGCACAAGCAGAGAAGAGACTCACCTGCCCAAGACAGTGCTCAGGCCGACATTCAGGGTTGAGGACAGAGGTTAGCCTTGGAAGATGAACACCCCCATGGTTTTCCCTAGTAAGAATGGGCCTGGCTTATTCAGGACACAGTGCCCTGCTTGGATGTGTACCTCTGGATTGCCCACAGTCAGAACTCAGATACATAACCCTGTCCAGTCCCAGGAGCTCTGGCCAAGCAACAGTGCCCCAGAGGCCCAGAATGCTCACTGAATAGACATTGGGTCAATTCTCATCTTCGGGCTGAGCACCACCTGAGTGTGACTCCCTACTCTGCTACTCACTCACCGTGTGACCTTGGGCAAATTGCTCAACATCTCTGGGCCTTAGGATCTGTATCTGTAAAATGACAACAACAAGAGCATTTACCTCATAGGGTCATTAGGAGGATTAAATGACTTAATATTTGTGAAGTACTTAGAACAGAATCTGGCACATGGCAAGTACTCAGTATTTGTTACTAAGTCCAAACCCAAAAGGAAGCCACTACAGACCAGGAGACAGGGGCCTCTCTAAGTCAGAAGTTGTCCTGCTGTGACGTCAGGCCCAGCAGCTGCGTTTCTGTGGGCGTCTGGCCATCTGCACCAGGGCTGAAGGGGTTGTGAATCCCTGGGGCATCCCCGCCCCACAGAGGTGGTTGCTCTTAAAGTTAAGTTCCTTTGACCAGACCAAAAACTCAGTGCGGAGGGCTTCAAAACTTCCCATTTGACAGCCCCTGGGGATTTCTTTGATTTGAGAGTGTTGGAGGGAAAACCTTTTCCTCTACCAACTTAGGTTTGAGGGGTGGGAGTAGGGAGCAGATTAATAGGAGAAAAGATGATGTGTGTGCACACACTGAGTGCAGGAGCACCGAGTAATGGGTAACTCACTGAAAAATGAGAGGTAAGGGTGTATATACCAATTTAACAAAAGGGGGTGGGGGTTAGAGCTTCAAAGGACAGAAGGTTCTGATGAGGCTGGCTTATACAAATTTCTTTGGGAATGTCCCTGTGCCCCACATCAGTGCCTCCCTGACTGAGGCCTCCCTGGAGGGGTGGGGATGGTAGCTGGTTCTCAGAAAGCTCTATGCTAGTCAGATAAGGGAAAGTCCAGATGAGGTTTCTGTGCATCAGCTGTTGAGTTATTGGTCCCTTCAAGGGAAGTACCTGGGGAGGGAAAAGGAGTGAGGGAAGGAATCAGGGTGAGTGGATGTGGCCTTTTGGGAGCGCTAAAGCTTCTGCCTATCAGAGGAGGCAAAACCCTAGTCAGGAAGCCTCCCCAAACACAAGCAGGAAAAGCCACTCAAAATTGGCAACTGCACTGTGTTATCTATCACTAGGCAACAAATTACCCTAAAACATCATGGCTTAAACAATAAACGCTTATCAACTCTAACAGTATCCAAGAGTCAGGAACTTGGAAGCAGCTTAGCTGGGTGCTTCTGGCACAAGGTCTCTCAGGAGGTTGTGATCAATATGTCAAGTGGGGCTGCTGTCATCCGAAGGCTTGGCTGGGGCTGTAGGATCTGCATCTAAGATGCCTCCTCTCATGGTGTTGGCAGGAGACCTCAGTTACTCACTGCATGAACCTGTGATAGGGCTGCTTGTGTGTCTTTATGACATGGCACTAGCTTCCTCCAGAGTGAGCAGCCCAAGACAGAAAGGAATGTGTACCTCTGGATTGTACTGTACCTCTGATTGTACAGGAATGTACTGTCACTTCCATTGTATTCTGTTGATCATACAGATCAACCCTGATGCAATGTGGGACACTACACCCACCCACAAGGCCATGACAACCAGGAGATGGGGATCATTGGGCGCCATCTTAGAGGCCATCTACCCCACCGCCCCAGAAGAAGGTTCACCTGGGCACTGGCCCAGATGTCAGCCCAGCTTAGGTACACCCTTCCAGAAGCCTCTCAGATGAAAATCCAGTACACTAGGTTGGGATTTGGTGCTGCTACCCCCTGCCTTACTCTGCCTCCTCACTGAAAAGCATCCCCACTCAGAATTGGGTCACGAGTCATCCCCATGGTGGAGCAAAGACTACATGCAAGACACTGGGTGGGAGATACACAGGGCTCATGGGCCCCTCTCTGAGTCAAGACTGGGAAATAAAGCCTTCACATGAAAATAATGATGATGATGATAATAATAATAAGGAAACATGCAATTTTTTAATT